CTTCCCTGGCAAGTGCAAGAGCCTGAGTAAAATCAAAAAAAAAAAAAAAAAAAAAAAAAAAAAAAAAAAGAAAAGAAAAAGAAAGCTGTTGAGCTGGATCATATACAATAGCACTTTAGAGGCTCTGTGCTTGACCACTGGAGGTATCACCTCCTACCGGGTTGGGGGCCCCAGAGGTCATCTAAAGGAGGTGAACTGGTTGGCTGATGGTGAGTTTTGATATGATAAAGAGATCCAACTCCAAACCTGTCCATAGTCTTCCACATCCCAGCAAGTGACCCGCTCATTTGCGCAATCATGCCAGGATCATCCTCCATGGTCGTCCTTTCACAAGTATAAATGAGACCTGCTAATTCACGTGACTACCTGCTTTCTTCCATCTCCACTGACAGCCATTGGCCACTTCTCAGCTGCAGATGTCTCATAACTGAGCTCTCTCCTGCCACTCCACACCTCCTCTTGACCCCACAAGCATGCTCCATGCTCATACAATGGCTGGGAGAATCTTTTTAAAAACCTATAGCTATGACAACTTATCCCATTTCAGCCCTGCAGTGGCATCTTTACTGCTTTTAAGACAAAATTCAGTGTGCTTACCATGCCTACAAGCAATGCCTAGCCCTGCAGTTCTCTTCTCCTTCTCCTCCTTCCTTCCCTGTCACCTCCACTCCAGCACCACTTCTAGCAAAGCAAATGTTCCCTGTCTTCCTGACCATTCCCGCTGCCTAAATGCTCTCCCTTCAGAATAAACTCACCCAGATCTTCACATAGCTATGTTTTATATCACTTAGGTCTCAGCTCAAGTGTTACCACCTCAGAGGCCTTCCTGGGTGCTAATATTTATGAGCATCTTATTTTGTTGTGCAAGTGTGTATTTCCTGGTCCTTCCACTATCTATTTTTCACTGTATTCCTAATAGCCAGGACTGGGACTGGTGCACAGCAGATGTTCAATAAATGGCCATGGACCAAATGAAACTGCATCAGGCAGTACCCTCTGCCTGAGAGATACATGGCTTCATGATCAGCCCAAGAAGAAATGGTAAGGATAATGTCCCCAGGTCCACATTGGACTTAGCATTAGATTTTAATATTTCTCTGAAAAATGAACACAAATTTCATTGCTCAAAAGCACATATATTGGTTAGTAGATTTCTGAATTTCTAAAATTCAGAAAACAAAAATCCAATGTCATTGGCTAAATTCAAGGTGTTGCCAGGGCTGCTCTCTTTTGTAAGACTCCTTGTCCTTTCCTGGCTCCCGGGGACCACCTGCATTCCTTGGCCCATAGCTCCTTCCTGGACCCACCCTGAGCTTTGGCTTCCTCCCTGACTCTGACTCTCCTGCCTCTTTTTTATGAGGAGGCTATGGCTGCACTCTGTCTGTCTGGATAACTCCCCATTACCAGACCCTTAGCTCAGTCATACTGTGCAGTCCCCTTTGTCCAGGAAGGTAGAGGTTCCAGGTTCCAGGGATTAGAATGTGGACATATTTGGGGATCACTAATCATCCTGTCTTACACTGCTGACTTGTGTCTTTTATTCCAGCCAGGTAGTAATAATACTTCTCAAAAAAAAAAAAAGGAGGAAGGGGTATTATGTTAGCCACTGTGTTCTCAGGAATCTATCTGGGTCTCTCCACTTCTTACCTGTCATGCAAGGCAAAGGTTGTTTGTGCATTTTCCAAAGTCCAGAGCCAGTTCCCATGCCATACTCCCTAAGCCTGACCTGTCCACATTCAGATGAAGCAGAGAACAGCCTGGGGCCCTGGAACTCTCTGGCGCCAAATGCCCAGACATGGTAGGTGTTAGTATTCAGGACACGATGTGAGACTCACCTGCCCCCACCTTATGGCCACATGGCTGTGTGCAGGACAAGGGGTCCAGGAGTCTGCTGAGGTTAAATCACAGGGAAAAGCACCCCTGAAAGGCCATGAGCCCTGCTGCAGGTGTGCTACCTGGGATCCATGCAGGTGTGACCGAAGCTTTGGGGATAGGGTGCAGTAGGGGGCAGACAGATGGGACCGGCAAACTCTCCTGCTGGAAAAGTCTTCACCCTTGGCCCATTTTTTGCCCCTTCCCAACACAGCAACCTCTCATGCCAACTCCTTGTGTTTTGTCTGATCAGTGTCGTAACTCTCCATCTCTTAACTCCATTTTCAAACCACTTGCCATTCTAGGCTTATTTCATGACTGAACAAGGGAAGTTCTTGACCACCAGGGAGTACTCATAGGGGTGAACCTCAGTGTGATTTGACGTTCATTCTGGAGTTACTACCCACTAGCCATGGAACTTTGGGAAAGTTAGTCAGCCTCTTCAAACTTCAGTCTTTTCTTCTGTCATGTGAGTGTCTGTGTCTTGCTGACTGAGCCCAGGTATGTAGAAGCAGAGCCTAACTCAAGAGAGGCACTCAGTGAAAAAGGATTGAATAAATGAACTTCGGAATTCCATCTCCTACACCTGTTTGAAAAGGGAAACAAGTGTTGTTTCAAAAGATTAAGTGAGTTTCATTTATAATATTTATTAAGCAGTGCTCTGGCAGTTAAGGTAAAAAGTGTTGGCCATATTTGACAAGGTGGTCATCTCTGATGAGTTGATGGGTGCTGTCCACAAAGCTGACCTTTCAGAAAGCTTAGTGGCATGAGCTGAGAAGAGTACAGGTGAAGTTTCCAGGAAATTTGGCTACAGAAAATAACAGGACGGGACAGAGTCTATTCAAAGGAACATGTTCATTGCAATAGTTAGCAGATGGGAACAGTCCAGAGGACCAGGGAAGAGTGTGAGTGGGGAGGAAGGGGAGAGAAAGGCAAGGAGGAAAATGCCAGGGGAGCCCCTGAGAAGAGAGCAGCCATTCACAGGAAGGAGGACCAAGGGGAGGTGGATACAGGTACCCTGCAGGGGAGGGGACGCTGCCACTCAGTGGCTCTACAAGATGACTGTGAGGTTATCAAGTGTTTGTGGCTGGGGAGAAGGTAGGATGTTTCAGGGATGAGTGAGACTGTGGCCCACTAGAGACACACTGCAGGGGAATGCAGCTGCACTGGGTGAAGAGACACTTCCTGTCTCTAAGTGTGGGATTTATTATGATCCAGGCATTCAAGGCCAAGGGGGCAGGAGAACACTGATGTTGAAAAGATAGTTGTTACACTCACAGATCTCAAGAGAAGGGGATTTGTCCCAGACATCAAGGGAGTGCTGCCCAGGCACATAGGAAAGCACCTGCGGGCCAAGAAGCAAAGGGAGTGAGGCAGAAGGTGGGAAAAAGCCTTTGCTGTGGTTTTCATACGGAGCAATATGGAAAGCAGGGTAAGCAGGCTTAGGACTGACCAGTTCCTACTGTGGGCTCCAGGGCCCAAAAGTTGGGCCCAGTTTCCAGGCTATGGGTGGGCTCTTGGCATGATGGGAGCAAGGGCTTGTGGTCTGCAGTGCAAGGCCACCTGAGGCAGGTGCTGCGGTATAAGCTGTGGAGTGACGGCTTGCATATGAAAGTCTTACTGCTCCCAGGAAGATGTGCAGTATCAAATGTAGAAACCAGAACACATGAGCCTTGTGGATGGGCTCCAGCCCAAACTTCCCTTTTTTTTTTTCCCATCTGAGGCTTTGCTCAGAAACTCAAGAAGCCACAAGGAGTCACCTCCTTCAGATCTCTTACATTCACCCAGACAGGAGTCTAGAAGGGGCCTCATGAGAAACTCTCTGGATACTAACCTCTAGTTCCAAGAAGATAAGCCCTGAGGAGATGATAACATTCCTTTTCATCAAATAATTGCAACATTCAACAGTAAGATGCTTCTATTACTACTACTGCTACTGCTACTGCTACTGCTACTACTACTACTACTACTACTACTACTACTACTACTACTACTACTACTGTTTGTTAGTACTGGGGATTGAGTCGAAGGCCTTTTTCACTGAGCTACATCAACCATTTCTCTCTCTCTCTCTCTCTCTCTCTCTCTCTCTCTCTCTCTCTCTCCAACCCCATTTGTGCAGAGCCTTGAAAACTTATTCATTAAGTTGCCCAGGCTGGTCTCAAATTTGTGAGCCTCCTGCTTCAGCCCGCTGGACTGTTAGGATTACAGGGCCACGTCACCATGCCTGGGCCCCAACTTGGAAAGTTGGCCAAGGTGAAAGAAGCAGTGGTCAGAGCTATGTACTCTGGATAGGATAATAAGCTAATTCTTCAATCCAGAATTTCACTCTTGTGAAATTACCTTAAGAAGATTGCCCAGTGCTGAATGTGCATGAGAAAGAATGAAAAACATCCCTGAAAATTCAATGTGGCCATCACGGTCACGGCCCTTGCTCTAGTTCATGCTTCCTGCTCAGCCCACATTCACACACACTGGAGTTTTCTCAACCTGACCTCCACTCTGGGATTTTACCTACGTGGCTTTCTACACAGGCTCTGGAGTTTCCACTCTCTCTGGCCTCAGCATGGCAGCATCTGCAGAACTGCCACGGATAAGTCACCACCGTGAATCTCTCCCTGCACCACCTGGGAACTACCCTCACATTTCAGGGAGGCAGGAGATGGGAGGATGACATCAGGGAGGGTAATAAGAGGGGCTGCTGCCACAGAATACAGGCAGATGCAGCTGGGATGATTCTGAAGTTAGCATGTTTGTTAGTTATTCCATTTCCTGAAGGACCTCCCTCACTGAACCTCAGATTTCCTATTCACCATGTGGGTCAGGTCTGAGGACCCTCTCTTGCCTTCCTCAGCTCCTCTCTTGCTTTCATCCAGATCCTAGGGAAAGAGGCAATGAGGGGAGGATGGGACGCTTCAGAAGGGTCCCCTCCCAGGACAGGTGCACAGCCTGGGAGGGGAATGTACATCTCTTGCCTCCTCATGCAGCCTGGTTTCCAAGGTGGCCTTTTGCCTAGCTCCTTGGGTCCACTTCGTCCTTGTCAGTGACCAAGAAAAAGCCCAGGAATTGGCCTTGCCTGCCTAGTTAATGTCTAACTAAGGAATCTCTTGGTGCCAAAATGTGCAAAACAGAGACCTCATATTTCCAGGCGCAAGAGTGACCCCCAATGTCAGTCACTTTTTTTTTTTTTTGTCTCCAGCCATTAGAGGAGAAAAAAAGGAAAAGGGAAACATTATGCCAAAAGAAAAAAATTCCACCCCCTACACCCAAGGAAACAATCTCAAGAAACAGATCTAGAGAATAATTGGAGGACAGATTGCCAGCCAAGGGCAAATGTGTATATATTTGTAGGAAATGCGCTCTTGTGAATGGTCCAGTCCTGTCCTCTGGCTTCAAGGTAAGGCTGTCTGATGCTGTCCCCTCCTGGCCTAGCTTCTCCCTAGTTGTTCTTCTGTGGCTCCCTTTCAATTTGAGAGAGGTGAGAAAGAAAGTGAAGGATTTAGACACCGCAGTCAGCGCTGCATGTGAGTCTTTCCTCTGCTGATTGTCAGCTATGTGAGCTCTGGCAAGTCAGTCTCCCTCACTCTGAACCAAAGCTTTGTAATTAACAGGGCTTCTATTTTTTCTGCATTCAAGTACTTTTGATTACACACCTCCTGTGTCCCAGGCACTAGGACCTTGGTCCTGCTTTGTATGTATCCTTTCAGGCAGTCCCACTGTATGCAGTAGGTTACCATCTACCAGTGTTTTAGAAATTATATGACATGGTTCATGAGTGGGTCGTGAAGTCATTGCATCTGTGGTTTATAGATAGAATTTTCTTTTCATTAAATAGAATAGAATATGCCAACAGGCAATAACACAGTAAGGATAGGAAGTGTTTTATATAATTTATAGTTCATGTGTGTGTGCATGCACACACAGGAGCAACTGCTCTGGATTATGACATGAAGAGCTTCCTATATAGTTTACGTTAGTCACAAAGGTCTCGCAAGTACTGCCCTAGAGTACAAGCACCGGAGCAGAGGCACTGCTCAGGACTGAGCCTGTCGTATCGTGGACACTCAGTTTGTAGACGCAGCAGTCCCCATTTCATACATGAGAAAAGTGAGGCTTAGTGAATTAAAACACCTGCCCAATTTCATACTGAGTTTCTGGTAATACAGGGCTTTGAGTCCTCGGAGAGGCTCCCCCTCACACTTATCCAACATGCTACCCTCTTTCTCTGTATGATAAGGGGTGTCCCTAGCACCCATGTAGGATTAGTTTACCACCTGGGAGAAGTAAGTGACCCCGCTAGAAACACCAAAATGTGTCGTGAAGTTTAGCTACCTGCCAAGTGGCTCATCTCTAGCCATTTGTGTACAATCTGTGAGTCACACGAAGACAGGGGTTTGGTAGTTGTGTGGAGTTAGGTCATGCTCGTTTGTCCCACCTGTCTCTGTCCTCAGGAATTCAGCCTCAGAACAGGGAAGAAGCGCCAGAGGCCAGTCCCTCCTTGTCTCTGGACTCGTGTGCCCAGGATCAGAAGGAGCTGTGAAGTGCAGAAGCAATGGGGCGGCTGCTCTCTCTGAGCTGGGTACTGATGGCAGTGGCAATGACCTCTTGGGTCATCACGGCAACAGCCAGTGAGCTCACCTCAGAAGCCAGTAAGTGGGGTATATGGGGTGATGCAAGACGTCCTCGGCAGAGGCAGTCTTACCCTCCTCTATGTGCAGTTTTTCTTCTAAGTCCATTTTGTAGACTACATGTATATGGGGCTCACCCAGATATTTTTCTTAGTAGGGTTGCATGGGGCCTGAGGCTCTGCCTTTCTGCCAAGGTCCCTGGGGTCACTGATGCTGTAGTACTTGGAAAGGCAAAGGGCTAGCACAGCTCTGAGGCTTCCAATACTTTACTAGACAGTCAGGAGCTACATTGAAGTACCAGAGATGGAAACACGTCCAGTGGCTCTCAGACACCTCTGCTGTCATCCCAGTGAGGCCGGTCCAGTGGGTTGGGCATTGCTTCAACCTGCTTCCTGCTTCTCCCTGGTAATGGGGCAGTGAACGCTATTGTGGTCCAGGGTTAGAAGTCCATACTCTCTGGACCTCTCATCTGCACGTGTGCCCTGACTCTGCAGCTTACCAAATGAGCAAATAGCTTAATCCTTCTGAACTTCAGTTTTTTCCTCTTTATAAATAACCAAGCATGGTGGTACATGCCTGTAATCTCAACACTTGGAGAGGCTGAGGCAGGAGGACTGCAAGTTTCAGCCCAGCCTGGGTAAATTAGCAAGATTTTATGTAAAAAATAAACTAATTAATTAAGATGCGGATGTAACAGTGAGGATTGAGGTCTTGGGTTCAATCCCAAAGGCTGGGGACATGGCTTAGAGAAAAAAGCCGTGGGTTCAATCCCCAGTACCACTAAATATATACATACATACATACAAATATATATATATATATATATATATATATATATATATATACATATATCACACACATACATAATAAATATATAAAATTAAATAAGGACAAATTAAAACTGATTTCAAAGGGCCAGTGGGAATGATCTAACAAAGTAATGAGATGCGCACAGCCCATTGCCTCTCACATCACACATGCTCACTGCACAGCAGCCCTGTCTTTTCATTTCTCCTGTCATTTCTGTCATGGAGGATCAAAATACCAGGCTCTACCAGGTGTGTCTGGGGGCCTTTAGAGAGGAGGTGACATGGAGCAGGGCCTTACATGGGCTCATCAGGCAGGGGAGATGACGTTGGTAGGAGGTAAAAAAAAAGTATGCAAAGGCCAGGAGACACATTTGCCGGAATTCTAACAGGAGTTCTGTGCAGTGTTGTCTGGAAGTTGGCATGTGGATACTTTTTAAATGACACAACTTGAAGGTAGTGCTTAATATGAACAACGAATGGCAGAGGCTCAGAGGTTTGGAGAAGGTGGGTGGGGAACTCAGGTAGTGTAGGAGTCCCCTCTAGGTTCTCATCTCGGTCCAAGAAGTCAATATTTGTAAGCCCAAAGATATATTATTAAAATCCCATCAAGTTAATTTTAATCTACCACTCCAGTGCAACCCATGGGGAAAGTAAAGACACTGAAACATATTTATAATTACTGGGGAGCCAAGGGGCCCTAAGTCCAGCCATGAAGATGGCTTTCTTTAACCCAGGGCCTCACCTGGTTTTATTAGGTGGAGGAGGAGTGGCTTGAGGGGAAATGACTTCAAATTGTGGGGAGTAGGTGAGTGCTGTGAGCTGAGCTAGGTGGGTGGCCTGCATTTGCCTCTGCCATATGCAGAGAGGCTATGCAGAGAAAGTAATCTGCATTATGCAGATAGTATTGCATGTTTTGGGGGTCTGGTGCTTCACCTCTGATGTAATCCTTCAAGCCCCAGGAAGTCATAGCCTCTCTCGAGGCTTGATCCCAGCTGGTGGTGCAGAGCACTGTCTCTTCATCCTGTCTTGACCCAGCTCACATTAAAGAGCAGCAAGTGTAGGTTACCAGGGAAACACGCACACCACCTTCAACAACTATCACTAGCACCTCAGCTAGACCAGTATACATTGCTTAAGGCCAATTGAAGGATAAACAGAAGTCCTACCCAGCTCTGTACATATCAATACCAGGAAATAGGGTCAGGTTCAGTCAAAATGGAGACAGTCGCTCTTCTTTCAAGGAGAGCTGCTTAGGTGGTCCTCCACAAGGTAGAGAAGGGCTCAGGTAAAGAAGGGCTCAGGTAGGGACAGAGACAGAGAGAAAGTGTGTTCCCTGTGGGCAGAAGGGACTGTTATGATGGCCATTAGGTCAGCTAACTGTGCTTCCCTCTCTCCTCAGGAAAGTGCTCTGAGTGTCACAGCAATGCCACCTGTACAGAGGATGGGGTCATCACTACATGCTCCTGCCAAGATGGTTTCTCTGGCAATGGGCTGGAGTGCGTGGACGTGGACGAGTGTGCCATTCCAGAGGCGCACAACTGCTCAGCCAACAGTAGCTGCGTGAACACGCTGGGCTCCTACGCGTGCGTGTGTGCAGACGGCTTCCTGCTGACGCCCGGGCTGGGCTGCACCGATGTGGATGAGTGTGCGAAGCCGGGGCTCAGCCGCTGCCATGCACTGGCCACCTGCGTCAACGTGGAAGGCAACTACTCGTGCGTGTGCCCCGAGGGCTATGTGGGAGATGGTTGGCACTGTGAGTGCTTCCCTGGCTCCTGCGGGTCGGGGCTGGACTGCGTGCCCGAGGGCGAGGGTGGGGCCCTCGTGTGCGCGGACCCGTGTCGTGCATACCACACACTGGACCAGTATTGGCGCAGCGCAGACTATGGCGCTGGCTACTCCTGCGACATGGACCTGCACGGCTGGTACCGCTTCAAGGGCCAGAGTGGCGTGCGCATGGCTGACAGCTGTGTGCCTGTCCTACGCTGCAACACTGCGGCGCCCCTCTGGCTCAACGGCACACACCCATCCAACAATGAGGGCATAGTGAGTCGCACGGCCTGCGCGCACTGGAGCGGACACTGCTGCATGTGGGAAACACAGGTTCAGGTGAAGGCCTGTGCCGGTGGCTACTTCGTCTACAACCTGCCAGCACCCCCGGAGTGCCACCTGGCTTACTGCACGGGTGAGTAAGCAACATCCCCCCTCTTACCCCATACTGCCTGGATGTGCTCCGCTGGGACTGGGCCAGGCCCTGCCCTTTTTGACTCTTTGTGACTCTGCAGATCCCACCTCCGTGGAGGGGACATGTGAGGAGTGCAGTATAGACGAGGATTGCATATCGGATAATGGCAGATGGCGCTGTCAATGCAAGCAGGACTTCAATGTCACTGGTAGGTGAGGCCAGAGGGCAGCCCGCAGCACATGGGATCATATCCTGGGCATCATGTCTGATGGGGTGCAAAGCAGAAAAGCAAGTGGGGGCCCCATGGGGCTTCTCCAATTGAGCCAAAATTCCTAGACTAGGGGCCTCCTCCCAGCCAGACCCCTTCCTGACGCCCCCCAAGACGGCAATAGATGGGTACACAGTGGCTGTCACCTGGGTGCCAAAGGCTATGGGGCCACTTGCAGATCACACCCCCATCTGAGGCCCCAGGAGGGGCATGTGCCCCCTCTGAGCCTCAGTTTCTTCATCTGTACAATTATCAAAGATGGCTGATATTTTCCAGACGTGGTCATGACTGTTGTCACAATCGAGGGCCAACTTTACAACTTTGCTTTACCCAGGTACTTGCTATACTGTGATTTTTTTTTATACTGTGATTTTTATTAGCTGAGTTTTCTTTAAATTAAGTAAATTTTTTCTAAGTTTTTTTTTTTTTTTTTTGTAAGGGTCTACAGGGTCTACAGGGTCTCACTATGTAAATCAGGTTCATAGTGATCCACCTTCCAAAGAACTGGGATTACAGGCACAAACCACCACACCCAGTCCTGGTCACTGCATCTGCCTAAGCAGGTACTTTAATCCACTGAGCTATTTGGCCAGCCCTAATTTTGGGTTTTGATGGTCACTACCATGTTTGTCTGTAGCTTGTAACTGTAAAAATACATGAAAAGAAAGTTATTAAATTCTAACAATATATATTCCAATAAAATGATTTTTTAAAATTCTGAAGATTAAAAATTCTAAAATACTTTAATAGTTTAATAAAAAAAATTCTAGCTGATAGTTATGGTCTGTCCCAAACACTGAGCCAGAGGGCCTGCTCTTTGTTTAAGAGGGAAATTAAGTTAGGCATGGTGGCACATGCCTGTAATTATAGCATTCTGGGAGGCTGAGGCAAGATGATCTCAAGTTGAAGTCCAGGCTGGGCAACTTGGTGATAGATCCTGTCCTCACCAAAAGAAGGAAATTAACAAGTATATAGTATTACAGACATCAGCAGGGGCTGGTGAGATAGCTAGAGGTCTAAAGCGCCTGCTTAGGCAAGCTTAGACAAGTGCGCAGGGACTGTGGTTCAAGCCCCAGCACCACATGCTACACCAGCCCTGCACCAGGGTAGGCTGAACCAGCCACTAAATAAATAAATAAATAAATAAATAAACAAACAAACAAACAAACAAACAAATAAATAAATGACATTAGCAGCAAGTGAGGAATGTGTCCTTAATATACATAAGAAGCATAGAAAGAAATTCTGTTTAGCTTTTTCTTTTCTCTTTTTTTAACTGGACTATGATGCTGCATCAGTGAAAGACTGCATATCACCTTGTATTTTGTATATAACCCGTTCTTGGGAGTTGGACACCAAATGTAGAGTGAAGCCATGGGATCCATCCCAGGATGCTCAGGCTCCAATCTTTTTTAAAAATTAATTTTATTGAGAAAGAAATAGCAATGAGACAGTTTCAAAACAGGTTAATAAGACAGTTACAATAATTAATACAATGTATATTGTTGCCTTTGTAGTAGTTACTCATAGTGCAAGATGTAGACATGATATCTTGTCTAAACAATGTTAGTTTAAAACTTTCTTCTCGTTGAACTAAGAGAAAGTAGCTGTATATCTATGCTATTTTGTATATACATATATATGTATATGTTTTTCACTACAAAATGGTCCTTCATCTATATCTCTCTTTTTTGTTTAGTTTTGTCAGAGATGGGTATTCCATTGCATTTAAACATTGTACGTGTGTGAATTCAGCAAAATAATCCAATATAGTCCAGTAGTGCATAATAGTAGTGGGTTATCCACAAAACTGGCACTGTCAGAAATTGTTGACTTGAGCCTTTTATAGCTTAGCATA